CACTACCCTATGATAAGTAGGCCCAGTGAGATATTCATACCGAATGAGGTTCGGGCCAAGTAAAGTCCGGCACAGAAAACAGACATACCGAACGGGTTTCGTGTCATACATCATACTTGGGCCAAATCAACTATGTTTTACAGGGCCCATTACCCCGTTCGGGCAACGGACAACCAGCAGGTGGCTAGGTGCAATTAATGCCAGATGGCGACATCAACAAGTGGAGGCATGGGTGATCAGGTCGGTGGAACATCGGCCAATCATCATAAAGCGTCCCATACTCTCCATTGGTAAAAATAGAAGGTTTAGTATCATTGTAAGGGTTAGCATTTTAATACTAAAGCCCTAGAATAGCCTTATTGCTCCTGTTTCTTGTATTAAGCACCAATCCGACGTGCCGTTCGGATTATTTCCTTGTAATCAAACAGGTTAATTAATACAAGTGGGTTTTTTAACATTCGACTATCCATCTTTTATATTTCTTTTACATACCAAATTATCGTCCATTTCCTGAGATATCCAAAGTCTGTGTTGGGCTTTCGGATCTACGGGATTAAACCCCAACATTGGCGCCGTCTGTGGGAAACTCTGAACAAAAAGTTTCACACCAAACAAAAAGCTATTTTCAAAATGGTTAGAATTACTTCTCATCACACCGGAGGAACTTCAGATAGACGTGGGGAAAGCCGGACCCCCCAAGGGCAATCCAGCCGGGGATCCTACCCACACTTTGATGGGGATTTTTTCATCCCCGAAGCATTAAGAAGGAACCCCCATGCCATGCGAGATTTGGCTCAGGTCATGCAACATATGGCAGATGAGCAGGATGGGGGACAGTCCAGCTACACCGGGGAAACTATGTACACAACCCCATCATTCAATGATGAAACCACCGATGCAGAAACAACCACGACATCAAATCACTCACGAGCCCACCGGGGAGCGCGCGCAAGAGCACATGCGACCAGGGGCAGGCATCACACTCTTAGTGACCGCACCCCGACCGGGTCATGGGCCAGAGGAGATACGCCTGTTGGCCGCCAGTTCCAGTGTGAAGAGCGTAACAATACGAGATTCGGGCAGACACGTCAGAATCGAAGAACAACTCTGCCGGAAGCGAATCGGGAATTTGTGAACTTGGGAACTCCACCACCGCCTCCTCTAACGGCCCAAGAGGAAGAAATGGCCGAGATGAGGAGGCAGATGAACGAAATGAGGGAACAAATGAACAGAGCCCCTCTGTAGCCTACTCCAGCTCAGGTCGGAATCACTTCCCCTTTCACCCGGGAAATCATGCAAGCGGAGATCCACAGGGATGCCAAACCACCGATCGGTCAAATATATGACGGGGTGGGAGATCCCCACAGACACTTGAGGAGTTATCAAGGGGGGCTCATCCTGTTGGGAGCATCGGAGCCAGCCATTTGCCTACTTTTCTTCAGCACGCTCAGGGGCCTGCCTAGGAATGGTTTGGGACCCTGCAGCCCGGATCGATCGATAGCTTTGCCGAATTATCAGCTTTATTCCTGGCCCAGTTTGCATCCAGTGCCACTTGAAAGAGGCATTTCAGTTACCTGACTAGTATCAGGCAGGGTCCGAAGGAGACCCTAAATCAATTCCTCAAGAGATGGAGGGATGAAACCCTAAAAGTGGGGAGCATGACAGATGATACAACCATCCGGGTGAATTGTATAAAGAGCTGAAAAAGAATCCGGGTACGGTTTATTCTGAAGTGCTGGACAGATCCCGGAAGCATGCGGCTCTGGAAGAAGAAATCCTGATCAGGGATAAGGTAGTTGCACCCCCAACCCCAATGAAACTGGCCGATCGGCTGGGTCCTACCCTAGCGGCCGCTCCACCTTCAAGAGCGGCACGGTTCGCTCCTTTGGTCCTTTCTGTAGCAACCATTTATCAGAACGAGAAGGACAACATTCCCCCTCTGACTAACACCAAAGGTTTTATGGGGGCGGATGCAAGTTCTTTTTGCAAGTACCACAATAGGAGCGGTCACTCCACCCAATCCTGTCCGGCATTGCAAATAACCATTGAAAAATTGATCCAGATGGGTCATCTGGGTAAATATGTAAACACAGACCCGAATGCTACGGGTCTTCTGAAACCGGTCAAGAAATCCAATAGCTGGAGGCGAGATGTACAACGTGATGCTCTCCCCAGAAATGATGTGTCTAACCCTCCTAGAGACGAACCGAAAGGTTCAGGGAACCCGAGTAAAAAACCCAGGATGGAGGTAAAGGTGATATTTGGGGGTGGGGAGACATGCGACTCGAACGCCGAATGGAAGAAGTTCGAGCGAAGCCTGTACGTGGGTTCTGTAGCCATGCCACCCCAGAAGAAAGGAAGGACGGACCCCATCACTTTCGGGCCCGCAGATTTGCCAAACTCGCCCAGTCCACACAGGGATGAGTTGGTTGTAAGTATGTGCATAGACGAGGCTTTAATTCACCGGATGTTGGTCAATATAGGAAGCAGTGTGAACATATTGTACCTGCAATCGTTCGAGAAAATGGGCCTCCAGAAAAATCATCTGACCCACCTGAGGACCCCACTGTCAAGCTTCACCGGGAATTGCATCGAAGCAGAGGGGACCATCCAATTGATGGTTGAGATTGGAGATGAAACACACAGGGCATCAGTCCGAATGACGTTCGTAGTAGTGGATATCAAATGTGCCCACAATGCCATTTTGGGCCGACCGAGATTGGAACATTTGGAGGCGATACCCTCTGTCCGCCACTCATGTATTAAATTCCCCACGGACACTGGGGTTGGGGTGGCCAGAACTGATCCAACTACAGCCCGAACGTGCTATCGGGAGGCCTTGAAAAACATGAATGCCCGAGGCATGCGGGTTAACAACATTGAAGTCGAAGCCCGCCGAATGGAGTTCGAGGCACATCCTGAGCCTGCCACCCTCCTCGAGCAAATTGACCTGGATCCCCCCCGATCGGAGGTGGCCATCGGGGTGGATCTGGAGGCTGAAATTCGGGAGGGTATAATAACAGTACTGAAAAAGTTTCAGGTATTGTTTGCCCGAGGGTCAGAAGATATGCCGGGTATTGACCCGGACATAATTTGCCACAAGCTGGCCGTTCGATCTGATGCAAATCCTGTTCAGCAAAAGAAAAGATACCAGGCGACCGAACGATGTGATTTTACAAAACAAGAGGTGGCCACCTTGCTGAGGATAAAATAGATCTAAACGGTGATCCATGTTGAATGGTTATCCAATGTGGTACTAGCTCCAAAGGGGTCCACCTCGAGAATGTGCGTAGATTATTCTAACTTGAATAAAGCTTGTCCCATGGACCCATATCCGGTGCTGAGGATCGATCTGTTAGTGGATGAGACGGTGGGATGTAAGCTCTTAAGCTTCATGGATGCGTTCCGGGGATATCATCAAATTTTCATGCACCCAGATGACGCAGAAAAAACAGCGTTTGTAACTTCGGACGGGGTATTTTGCTATGTTGTTATGCCGTTCGGGTTGAAGAATGCAATGGCTACTTTCCAAAGGATGATTGGAATTCTGTTTAAAGAAGTATTGGGGGTCACAATGGAGGCCTATGTTGATGACATCCTGATCAAAAGCCGGAAAAAGGAGAGCCATGTCTTGTATATAGAAAGGGTGTTCGGGATAATGCACAAAGCAAACATGAGGTTGAACCCCAAAAAATGTGCCTTTGCCGTTAAGGGGGGCAAATTTTTGGGATACATGATGAGTGAGAGGGGCATTGAGCCTAATCCTGAGAAGGTAAAGGCGATCATGGATATGGAGGCTCCAAGGAACCTGAAGGAGGTTCAGAGATTGACCGGTCGATTAGCAGCCCTGAGCAGGTTGTTGTCCAAACTGGCTGATCAGACAATTCCATTTTTCCAGATCATGAAAAAAGCAAACCCCTTTGAATGGACTGCCGAACGCCAAACGACCTTTGAGGAGTTCAAGTTGTATCTATCTTCTCCCCTGGTATTAACAAAAGCTGACCTAGGGGAACATCTTTATATTTACCTTGTTGTGGCCGATCTAGCCGTAAGTTATGTGTTGCTAAAAGAAGAAGATGGCATCCAGAGGCCTATATATTTTGTGAGTAAAGCCCTGAACAGCCTAGAGACTAGGTACACTCTGATGGAGAAAACAGTGTTGGCCCTGATAGCAGCCATCAAACGGCTTGCACCTTATTTCCAGGCACATCCGATAACCGTATATACAACACAGCCACTGGCCACCATCCTGAGAAATCCGATGGCTAGCTGGCGCATCACAAAGTGGAGTCTCCGGATCGGGCAGTATGAGGTGGGCTTTAGACCTCGGCCCACTATCAAAGGCCAGGCATTGACCGATTTTATAGCAGAATGTACTGCTCGGCCTTCGGAGATCGAGACGAAAGGCAACATGGTAGATGAATGGTGGGAAATGTACGTAGATGGCGCATCAAGTGCTAAAGGCTGTGGGGGTGGAGCTGTGATCACATCACCTGAAGGTTTTAAGGCATACTACTCCATCCATTTTGACTTCAAAGTAACCAACAATGAGGCCGAATATGAGGCTCTCATTGCAGGGTTAAAATATGTAAAGGCCCTGGGCGCCGATCGGTTCAAGGTCCGGTCAGAAAGCCAACTGGTGGTCCACCAAGTGAATGACACGGCCGAAACTAAAGAAGAAAGGATGAAAGCTTACAAGGAACTGGTCGAGGAACAGATCGAAAAGTTTGAACATGTAGTGCTCGACCAGGTTTCCAGGATAGAAAATCATGAAGCAGATATCTTATCCAAATTGGAGAATGCAGCTCTTGATGACCGTGCACAGATGATCCCGGCTCACATCCAACGGTTTGCTCATCGGCAAACCCTAACAACACCAGCAACTCTGGTCCTCCATGTAGAAGCCATCCTTATGCCATTCCCAGTTGGGTCACAGATATGACCAACTACTTAAAGGACGGGACCCGACTTTCAAGGATTATTATAACTATGCATTTGAATGAGGATCGTGCTAAGGGGGAGGGAGCTCTGGCAACCCCAGGAGATTTTGACGTCAGCGTCGCTGCCGGCGAACTTCCCGGCGCGGCGAGGGTGAACAAGACAGATGGAGAGAATCAACACGCTTCATCATTAATCAAATTTGGATCTATTATCGTTGAAATCCCTAGCAATCAACAACAACCGCATAAACTACAACGACGAGAACCAAACTTCGTGGCATCTGCTTCCCTAAGAGAACCGGGCAATCCGCGACAAGGACAGGGCTATACCAGAAGCTGCGATGGGATCTCAGCGACTCAGACTGCTCGCAATTGCACGGATACTCGCACCAAGCACCAAACAGCGACAACACCTCCCTCAGAATCCCAGGCAGCGACCAAGCTTCGAGTGCCGACCCAACGAGCGGCGAACTGGAAGCAAGAGGCAACCCAGGTTCGAGGGACAATCAATCCAACTCGCAGAGGAGGGAGGTCACCCCGTGTTCTTCACCACCGTTGGCAGCAAGTTGGTTGCAAGCAAATTCCAGGTACACGATGGGCTCATTCTCCATGGCAGGGCAATCTGGTTTTGGGGAAGAAGCTTATCCAAAGTCAGTCTCTACATGGACGGGAGAAATATCCTGGGGTCAAAAGAAAGCCAGTCAATTTTCTACACCATCCAAACGAGTTTGAAATTTTTATTGAGAGCAAATCCTTTCATTTCTCTATTTTTGATGGTAATTCTATTCGCATCTCTGAATCAAAGTGTGATATTTCAACCGAAATTGATTTCGATCTCAAAAGGATTATTTGGATAAAGGATTCTATTGTGAAGCTTTTATCTGATAATTGGTCATGTTCTAAGCTTGAATTGAAAAATTCACTTCTAATCCTTCATGACTCTAATTTTTTGGCGGTTTCTTCCGCATCATCAAGAAGGGATGTGATTCTTTATTTATACCAGAAGGTTGGAATGGAAAGGGGATTAAATGCTTTCTGTCAGGAATAACACGAGCAATTAAATTGATGCGGGAATTTGCTGATAATCAGACAACTGATAAGATAAAACAAGACTCAAGCAGAGCTTCTTGGGGTGTGGTGGACTTCGAGTAGGATCTCTATATGAATAGAGATGAATCCAATCAAAACGATTTCTCTATTTCTCGACCTTTGTTTGAAGTTGATATTGAGCAATCTGCCTTTTGTGAGAAACACCTAATGTTAAAATCTGTTGAGGAACAATTTGGTTCTCAACTATCATCAGACTCTTCCGTTGCAAACATTAGGGATTTTTTTCAGACAATTATGACTACTGGGGTTGACTCATTGTCTCACTTTCTAATCAAAGAATTTGAAAGAATTGCTACCTCATGTTTGGAAAATCGCGACTATTTGGATAAGAGACTAGGTGAAGGGGCTAAAGAATGTGCTTGTCAAGTGGTAAATCCTGCGACAGAGACAATTACAAGTAATCAGTGCTCTCTAGGTTCTGATTGGGATGATGCTTCTGTTGAGAAACTTGTATATTCAGGGGATGAGTTTCTTGGTCATGCTTGAGAAAACGAGAAGCGGACTCCTATTTCAGCGATAGAGGATCTATGGGATTCAGACACAAATCAAGACATTTGTAACAAGGCTTGCTTGGTCATGAAAGAAAATTGTTTGCCCACGCAGAACCTTAACACTCAAATGAAAATATACAGAAAAAGACACCAACGATCGCATCCCATGAGGACAAGATCCCAATCTCATGTGGGTTTTTGATAGCTTCATGGAACTTGGTGGTTTTATAGGGAGGGTTCTCACTTGTTCTTCGGGTTGAGCTCTATTTTACTTGTTTGTCTACTTTGTTTCTTAATCTTTTTTGTATTCTTTTTTTTTTGTCCTTGTACTTTCATTTTCATTATCTTTAATAAAATATCTTTGTTAAAAAAAAAACTTAAAGGACGGGACCCTCCCACAAGACAAAAATTCAGCATACAATATGAAATGTATTCAGAGGAGGGCCTCCATGTTCGAACTGGTGGACGGGCAGCTGTACAAAAAGACATTTGGAGGACCATGTCTGAAGTGCCTACCACCTGGTCTAGCAGCGGCGGTAATGGAAGAAATTCACGAAGGAATATGTTCCAGCCATCAAGGGCCTAAAATATTGGCAAGAAAGATCATCCTGCAAGGATACTACTGGCCAACAACCCAACAAGACTGCTTTGCTCATACCAGAAAATGCAAGGTCTGTCAATTGTATGCACCGGTCCCCGAACGGCCAGCTACATTCTACACCCGGATGATAGTTGCCCTTCCATTCGCCAGGTGGGGGATCGACTTGCTAGGGCCCCTACCTACTGCCCCCGAAGGACTAAAATACATCATCGTTGGGATAGATTATTTCACCAAGTGGGTGGAGGCCGAACCACTGGCAAGTATTACAGATTTCAAATGCCAAAAGTTCGTCTGGCAGAATATCATTTGCCAATTCGGTCTCCCCGAACAGATCATCACAGATAATGGCAGGCATTTCGTGAGCAGGAACTTCGAAAACTATTTGGTCAAATGACAAATCAAACATTCCAGAGCGTCTGTAACATACCCTCAGGCGAATGGCCAAGTAGAAAACATGAACCGTACCATTATGGATGGTATGAAGAAAAAACTAAAGCATTGTTCCTCCTCATGGTCGGACCAATTGAATTATATCTTGTGGACATACAGAACGACACCCCGAACGGCTACTGGAGAGACTCCGTTTGCCCTTACCTATGGATTCCAGGCTAAAGTTCCAACAGAAATTCTGGTTCCCACACATCGAACGATACATTATGACCCCGGACTCAATGAGGATAATCTACGGGCCGAAATGCACTTCATAGAGGAAAGGAGGGACTTAGCTGCAATACGAATGGAGGAATATCATAGAGCAACAAGGAGATACTTCAATAAACAAGTGAAAATCCGATCGATCGAGGTAGGAGACTTGGTCCTGAAGAAGTGGGAAAAGAGCAAACCTCTCGAAGGAGGAAAGATGGCACAAAATTGGGAAGGCCCTTACGAGGTCTGCAAAAAATACGCTTCAGGAACGTTCGGTCTGCAATCTACCGAAGGCCGACCGGCAGGGACTTGGAATGTGGAGCATCTGAGGAAATTTTATCAATGAAAATGGTTGTTGCCACCTCTTAAAAAATGATGAGAGGGAGACATAATTGCCAGAGAGTTTCACCTCAGCTTTTAACATGTATAGTCACTCCAAATGAATAAATGACTTCCGTGTTAACAGTTTGGAGGGAGCCGCCACCTCAGCTAAAAGATTTTGACCCTGTGATCATGAACGGTAAAGGGATCAAAACGGCTTGGAGATGGTGTCAAAACAAGTAATGTCAAGACGAGCGACGTTCGGTAACATGGATTGTCGTCCGGGGAGGCCTTGCTTTCAGAAAGTCTCACCTCAGCTTGTTAACACATAGAATCATTCCGGATGACCGAATGACGAACATGTTAACAGTTTGGAGGGAGCCGTCATTTTAGCTTAAGTAAGAAATCACCCGATCTAGTGATCTTGCTTACAGTTTTAAAGTGGTCACCTCAAACCCCTAATATGGATGATACGGATCGTGGAAACTCTTCGGAATGCATCGGAATTATGGGTTTGGAAGGGAGAGAGTCTCACCTCAGCTTTTAACACGTAGAATCATTCCGGATGACCGAATGACGAACGTGTTAACAGTTTGGAGGGAGCCATCATTCAACTAACAGTTTTTGACCCTGTGCTCACAAACGAATAGAGGGTCCAAAACGGCTTGGAGGGAATCACCTCAGCTAAAAGATTTTGACCCTGTGATCACGAACGGAAAAGGGATCAAAACGGCTTGGAGATGGTGTCAGAACAAGTATTGTCAAGACGAGCGACGTTCAGTAACATGGATTGTCGTCCAGGGAGGCACTGCTTTCAGAAAGTCTCATCTCAGCTTGTTAACACGTAGAATCATTCCGGATGACTAAATGACGAACGAGTTAACAGTTTGGAGGGAGCCGCCATTTTAGGTTATGTAAGAAATCACCCGATCTAGTGATCTTGCTTACAGTTTTAAAGTGGTCACCTCAAACCCCTAATACGGATGATACAGATCGAGGAAACTCTTCGGAATGCATCAGAATTATGGGTTTGGAAGGGAGAGAGTCTCACCTCAGCTTTTAACACGTAGAATCATTCCGGATGACCGAATGATGAACGTGTTAACAGTTTCGAGGGAGCCATCATTTGAGCTAACAGTTTTTGACCCTGTGCTCACAAACGAATAGAGGGACCAAAACGGATTGGAGGGAATCACCTCAGCTAAAAGATTTTGACCCTGTGATCACGAACGGAAAAGGGATCCAAACGGCTTGGAGATGGTGTCAGAACAAGTATTGTCAAGATGAGCGACGTTCGGTAACATGGATTGTCATCCGGGGAGGCACTGCTTTCAGAAAATCTCATCTCAGCTTGTTAACACGTAGAATCATTCCGGATGACCGAATGACGAACGGGTTAACAGTTTGGAGAGAGCCACCATTTTAGCTTAAGTAAGAAATCACCTGATCTAGTGATCTTGCTTACAGTTTTAAAGTGGTCACCTCAAATCCCTAATATGGATGATACGGATCGAGGAAACTCTTCGGAATGCATCGGAATTATGGGTTTGGAAGGGAGAGAGTCTCACCTCAGCTTTTAACACGTAGAATCATTCCGGATGACCGAATGACGAACGTGTTAACAGTTTGGAGGGAGCCATCATTTCAGCTAACAGTTTTTGACTCGTTCAAAACGGTTGGGAGATGATGTCAAAACTATAAGTATGGACGAATCTGAGTAGCGTCCGGAAAGAAAGAAAGAAAGAGAGAAAGAAAGAAAAAGAGAGGCATTTTAAAAGACAAGATTATGTATAGAATCGAGCTTTATTCTTCGGTACTACTGGCCGGAAAGTACAAAGAAAACAAGAATAAAATTACAAAGATGGACTACTCTATTGGACCATTGCCGTTCGGGGAAGATTGAGGTTGAGAGCTTCCGGCCTGTGCTGCATCATCAGAGATCGCTTTCTGTCTCATCTCCATGACCCGATCGTAAGTATTCCCGAACAGGTCATCAAATCCCAACTCATCAGGATCGAACGGATTGGGGAAGCGTTCCATGATGAGGTCGAGGTTCCTGTCTAGAAGCAGATCTTGAATTTGCTTCACAGTTTTCTCCGTCAGGACATCCAAGAAAGATTTCCCTTCGGGCGTGCTATCCAGAAGCTCTATCCCCGACCTGATCGGGTCCTCGCTCTCACGCAGGAATTGGCCAAGATGAGGTCCCAAAAATTGTCGAGCGATGTTTTGTAAAGCGATATCCAATCCTTTAATGCGTTGATATTCGATCAAGGCCTGATTGGTGATCTTGGAGGTGTTGGCAGTATACGGCTCGGGAGGATTATCTCCCACTGATTTATCAAACCGCATTCCAGCGGATTCAACCACTCTCACCTTGGCTCTGAGATCTCTAATTTCTCGATCACGACGCCGGGCCCTCTCCTCCATCTTAGCCAGATCAGCCTTCGCTTGTTCACCTTCATCAACACGGACTTGCAGATCTGCAGCCAGTTTCCGAGCGGCGGAAAGGAGAACCTGGCTATCTTCCCGATCATTGGTTATACGCTTCTGATGGATAGTGTACCCGGGGGGTAGCTTATCCGAGGGGTTATTACGGGGAATAACTAGAGAGAAGTCAGAGCAAGTAAGCTAAGAGAGAGAAAGTGTGTTGAATATGTAAGTTAAGTCTTTTGAGCGTGGTTTACAACGGGGAAATGAGGTGCTATTTATAGTAGCAATAAATGCCAGATAGGAACACGTGTCAAGCATCCATTGGCCGAGGGGTCACCTCAACTGGTTGGCGCTGGCAATCGCATGTGGCCGCATTTAATGCGACAGTTGGATGGGACGTCGTACTTGGTACGGTGATCCCTGCGCATGTGGAGCGGATATTATGTCGGAAAAGGTGCCCTCGGCTGTAGATGATTAGCCGAGGGCTCTGAATACCGAGGACCTCCTTAGTGCCGAGGGCTCTAGGTGCCGAGGGCTACTGATTTTCGCCGTTTTCTCCCAGTAACTTTGTTTTCTTGATTTGGCCATCCTGTGAGAACTGGAGCCTTCGGCCAGGGGGCCGAAGGCACCCCTAGTGTGCTACGTGGGTTGTTTAGTAGTTGGGGCGCCGTGATTTGGGCCTGCTGTGCTTCCTGGACCTATTGGGCCTCCATTAGAATAGTACGAGTCTATGGGCCGGGGGTTCCTGGGCCATATACTCCATCAGGAGTCCCTCACTCCTTTTACCGAAAGGTACTTGAGGGAAAAGGAGTAATTGTGTTTGTCCTCTGTCGTTGTTCCGTTGTAGTTTGTAGAGTTGTGAGTAGTTTGCTGTTTGTTTATTCTGCCGAGGGCAGTCCCTCAGTTACCCACATGTCGGGACTTGAGGGGTCATATTTGCTGTTTGCGGGAGTTTTTAGCATTTTGCAATTTTTGTGATTTTTCCCGAGGGGGTTCTTCAGTCCCCCACTCCTTGAGGCACTTGCAAAGTGGTGAAAAGGAGTAGAGTAATCATGTTGCTGTATTGGGCCGAAGGCTGACGCTTTTTGTTTCATTTTGGGGGGATGCCTCGTTAAAAACCTCATTACGAAAAACCCTGTGGGAAAAAATCCTAATGAGGGAAAAAGAGTGCACCGAATTCCCCCAACGATGAATCGAAAATGTGAAGCCCTGGTTTGAAATGGAGTACAATGCTGGTGCCGAAGGCTATCCTTGTTCTGAGGGCGCGTGTGTTGATTAGCCGGAGGCTTGCTGTTGATATCCTGGGAGGTGCCGAAGGGGAGTCCCTCAATCTGGGGATCGAGGGCGTGATGAATGCGAGTAGTAGTTGAAGTGTTACCGGGGGGGTCCCCTGTTTGTTGATCAGTTGGTGAGGAGGGTATCCGAGGGCTCCCGTTACCTGTGTGCCGTAGGCTATCCGTTAATGAGGTGTACTCCCCAGGGGCTACCTGGTCCTCAAAGTGTTGAGGGGGGAATCCCCGAGGGGTCTTCCAGTTGCGAACCCGGGAGCTTCTCTTATTAAAGTGGGGTGAAGGGGAAAACCAGACTCCACCTGATGGCGGAGTGTTTACCCGGGGGCGTACCCTTGATGAAGTGTACCCGGGGGCTCCTCTTGATGAAGTGTAGTGAAGTAAAAAGCCCGGGGGCTAGTTTCTTGGTTGATGAAGGAGTGGTCTGCTGAATATAGCCGGGAGCTCCCAGAATATAGCCGTTGGAATATCTAACGTCAAAAAATATAGCCGTGGGGGGGGGGGGGGGGGGGGCACACGTGGCGCGCGACGGTTGGCTGCCCGCGAGCGGCGTTACCGATTGGGCGAAACCGCAGCTCGTAATGATGATTTTGTGACCAGAGGCCCGGTTTTTGGGCCGAAGCCCGGATCTGGGCGCCTATAAATACCCCATGGCCGGGCATCATTTCTCTTGTGCGATCATATTGTTAGCGAAGCTCTGCCAAAATTTCTAGAGAGAGAAACTCCAGCCTTCGGTTGAATCCCCAGCTTTCAAGGTCAGTCCCTCTTCTGTTCTCCATTTACTTGGTGAGTTTTGCTCCTGTGGCCGTAGACTTAAGTGTCTAGAGTTTCTTAGGGTGCCTTCGGACTTTAGAACTTCCATATTCATTAGCCTATAAAAAATGTCGTCCGCTAGTGATTCCCAAGACATATCGAGGGATCCCTCGGTTGAAGAGGAAGTTTTCTCCGACGCAGAGTCCCTGAGTGAGCAGCCTTCGGCCGGTGGTGACGTTGCCCTCGCCATTGAGATGCAGAAAGAGTTAGTGGCTGAAGTTGAAGCCGAGGGCTTTGAGCAAGAGGCGGAGGATGAAGAGCTCACCCTCGCCGTACAAATTGCAGAGGAGGAGGAAGAGAAGGAGAGGATGAGGGTGACAGTGGCTGTCCTCCCCCCCACGGTTCTGGTGAAGCAAGCAGCTCGAGGCCACTGAACCCGACGCCCTTGAGAGTAGCCCCCGGATCGAAGGAGAAGAAGGCGAAAGCTGCTACTAAGAAGAAGGTCAGGGCCGCCGACCAAGGGAAGCCCGTTGATATGCCCGAGGGGTATTCTTGGCTGAACACCGAGGCCCTCGAGATAAAGTCGAAGGCGGACAAGGCGGATTTCTATGTCACGCAGCTGCACGTAGGGCCTTCGGCCGTGGTGGTCGAGCTGGGAGTTGATGATGTGCTGTCCCGGGCGCCCGAGGGGTGCATTGCAGTACACATACTTTCGGTCTCCATGGGCCTCAGGTTCCCTCTGCACCCCTTCCTCCGGGAGTACCTCAGGTTTGTTGGTTTGGTCCCCTGCCAGCTGACACCTAACAGCCACTCTTACATTGCCGGGTTCCTTCAGCTCTGTAAATCCCGGGGGGTGACGCCAAGCTTGGATCTATTTTTCCAAAGCTTCAACTTGTGCCGGGGGGGCCACGCGAATGCCAAGGGCTTCGTGAACCTACAGCAGATAGCCAGGTGGAAGCTGTTCACCGAAGCGCCTTCGTCAAACAAAGGCTGGAAGGAGCGGTGGTGTTACGCCAGGATAGATGAGAGCCCTTTCCTGAGGGAACTACGAGACCGATTCCGACGGCACCCAAAGGTCGGAAACGCTGCTATCGAGAAAAATGGTTTGATCATAGCCAAGATCCCGGAGGGTCGTACGAAGAACGTATCCATCAAAGACTACACCCTCGAGGAGGATCTATATACCCTCGGCTTCCGGCGCTATCGTTTCATCGGGGAAACGGACGAGAAGTATCCCCTTTTTGATGAAGCCTTCGGGGGAGCAGGAGGTAGTCACCGAGGGCCCTTAGTCTTGTACTTAGCATTTTTTTGTACCATGATGTTATTGCTCCATGGTTGTTGACCCGTCGGCCTAACCCTTCACTATTTTGCAGGTATCCCCGTTTCGAAGATGAACGTGAAAGGCTTTGCTCGATTGAAGAACACGTCGGCCAAGGATCCGAAGGGGTCGGATGCGGGCGGCCAGAAGCCCGTTGGTGCGTTTTTCAAGAAGCCCGAGGGTGATGTTGCGGCCGCGAAGAGGAAAACAACGGCCAAGGAATCACCCCGGCTACCAAGAGATCGAAGAAGGGGGACGCCACGAAGAAGGACCCCCCGGTAGTGATCGTGGATGAGCATTCCACCTCCGGGCTGGTCGTGGATGTGCCGACGGCTGTAAAGCCGGCGGGGACGGAGGAGATGCCCCCTGAGGTCCTGCAGGTTTCCCTCCCGAGGGAAACAGCCGTGACCAACTGCACGGTCGACCCGAGGGTGCTTCTGAGGGGCATGCCCCCTGAAACAGATGGGGCCACCTTCGGAGCTTTAGATGATGTGGCGCTTGAGGACCAGATCCTCCGATCTTCCTTAACTGTGAGTTCCTTCATGCTTTCTTCCCTCCTTCCTCAGATTATCTTGCGTGGTTGTCCTGACAGTTTGCGTTGTTGATTTGCAGGCTTGCCTTGCCCTCGGCGAACAGGCCCGACGGTTGGAGGAATGGCGTCTCCACAAAGCTGGGAAAGACGCAAAGATGAAGGAGCTCATTCATAAGGACTCCAAGGCCACGAAGCTGATGGCCCAGCTCGAAGAGGACCTCCAGCTTGCGAGAGCAGAGTCCGGAAGGCTCAGGAAGGAGAAAACCAAAGCTGAGGAGGCTGCCGCGGAGGCCGCAAAGAAAGCCGCCGAAGAGGCCGAGGCCGTCAGAGCGGAGGCTATTGTCAAAGCTCGGGAGGAAGCCGTCTCCGGGTTTCTGGACGAGGGGTGGAAGGCCGAGGGACACAAGAAATGGTTGTCCTCGGTTGTGGAGGCTTCTGTTGATGAATGGTGCGAGGGCCCGGGTGAGGAATGGATGGCCCGAAAGGGCAAGGAATATTATGATGGGGGTGAGTTTTTTACTCAGGCCCTCATCTACCGGAGGATGGCCCGGCACCTGAATATTGAGCCGAAAGATTTCGATCCCTCGGCATACGGTCTTCCTCCTTTACAACCGGATGTTCGTGAACCCCTCCCCTCAGGCGTTAAGCGGCCCGACCTGGAGGATACTGAGTTGATGAAGGAAGTAGAGGGTGACATCATGGAGGCCGGAGTAGAGGTCTCTTCAAAGCCTGGTGTAGAGGATGGTTTCGGGGGAAATGCTGCTGAAATTCCTGGGGAGACTTGTACTTAGATAATTTTCGTACAATTTTGTACCCGAACATTCACATGCTTTCGGCTTCGGCCTTTGTAACAATTACACTTGGTATTTTTTGTTTTTGATGAATGTATGAATGTACGTTTGCCCTCGGGTCCCTTCTCGTATATGAATTTGTTTCCTGTTGAATGTATGCCTTTGTCTTTTCCTACCTTGCTTTGTGTATGAATGTATGGTGGTATAGTGTTTGGTCGAGGGGGCAATTCACGGGACTTAGAAAAAATATCTCTCTAAGTATAGTGTCTCCTGTAGCCCTCGGCTACCAGGCCTATTTAGTTATCTGAACATTTCACCGAGGGCCCAACGTTCAGGACTTAGAAATCTTTTCGAAGTGTTGTTCATCTGTTGGCCCCCGGCCAATTCCTTCCCTCTGGTTCTGTGTAGCCTTCATTAGATAACCGGAGGCAAGGTGCTTGGGACTTAAAAAAAAAATTCTAAGTGTTTGGATATCGTCTAGCCTTCGGTACGTGGGTACCCTTCGCTGCATGGGCATATAACCGAGGGCCCAAAATATTTAGGACTTAGAAAACATTTCTAAGTATAGTTTCACCAAGCCTTCGACCGTGTGGCCCCTCTGGCTGCATGGAGCTTTGACCGAGGGTCAAAAATGTTTAGGACTTAGAAAAAATTTCTAAGTGTAGTTGTATGAGGTAGGAGCCTCCGGGTGAAATGTGAGAGCCTTGTCGTAGGTGTACCTTCGGTTAACCGGTGACTCGACAGAGGGCAAAATACTTAGGACTTAGAAAATTTTTCTAAGTATTTCCTGTTGCTGGCCTTCGGGCGGGGACCCTTCGGCTGTATACTTTGCGGGCCTAGAACAGTTTCCTTTGTCTTGCAATGTTGGCCTGCGGCAACAAAAGCCTTCGGCTGCTGTTATGTCCCCACAATGTTGTCTTAGGAAAGTTTGTAGTTCATGTGTAGCATAAAAAGACAGACTCCCTCGGACATTGCCTGGGCGTATCCCCTCGGTATTTAGTGAGGTGCCGGAGGTGATTCTTGCTTGGATTTGGCTAACATCTGGTAGCTTTGTTGTATAGTAGCCTTCAGGGACGTTTTGAGTTGTTGTTGAGTGAGCCTGTCATGTTGTGTAGGTTTTGAGCCTTCGGTTTTGATGTAGCCGGAGGCAATCAAGGAGTGGACTTAGCCATTTGTTGATGATGTTTGTTGAATAGTATCTTTGGTAATTATGAGCTTCCAGGTACCGAAGGTGTTCCCGTGGGGAGCCCTCGGTATGTTCCCGTGAATTTGTTGGAGTGGTGTACTCATTGATTTCTCGCTGAGTCTACTCCCCTTCACCACTTTTTTTTGTAGTGAAGGGAAGGCTTCAAGAAACTTGGTCTCTTGGTAAGGCTTGGCCTATCGGGAGGTAACAGAATACACCATTAGCCCCCCCTCGGTTTAACCTTCCGAGTTCCGAGGGGATCGAAGGTCGTTTCCTGGGCACAAGACATGGTCTGTACCCTGCTTCCCCTTGGGAGATGGCAAGGAAAGCGCCTCAGTTTTGAAAGTCGTCCCCTCGGCGTAAGATAAAGTCCATGGCCCGCCACACCCTTGGGGTAGTGGCGCGGGGAGCGTTTCGATTTGGAAGTCGAATCCTGGGCATATTAGATGCCTGCCAATCCCTTGGGGAAATGGCGCAAAAAGCGTTCCGTTTTTGAAAGTCGAATCCTGGGCATATTACATGCCTGCCACACCCTTGGGGTAGTGACGCGGAAAGCGTTTCAGGGAAGGGTTTTCATTTGCACACTGTTGCAAATGGCCGGGGGCACTACGTGCTACCGGCACCGATAGGTGGCGCATTCGGTATAGGCATCCTCGAGGGGTACGGCTTTAGAAACAACACTTGGTGTTTGTTCCGATGTACGACCCCCGGCACTTGGTACCGAGGGGTCTTCTGTGGAAACACTTGGTGTTTTTCCTTTATTTGACGTAGGTGATTGTGTTGTCTACCCTCGGTACTTGGTACCGAGGGGTCTTCTGTGAAAACACTTGGTGTTTTCTTCTGTTTGTTGAAAGTTGACAGTGGTACATCCCCCCGGCATTGGGTGCCGAGGGGTCTCCATTGAAGGCAGTTGGTACTTTCTTCCTGTTGTAGGTGATATTACTGTCTACCCTTGGTACTTGGTGCCAAGGGTTCTTACTAGTGATAAGGCCTTGGGCCAGGGGGTGGTATGAGGGCTTGGCCACTCATAGGAGTCTTGTTCCATGTCCTTGGTGTCTTCAATATGCCTTCATTCTTCAAAACGTTTAGGCCTTGGGCCGCAAAATAATACATTCACTAGTTATGAGGGCTTGGCCGCTATGATGTTATTGATAAAATTTAACTAAGTGATGTATATTCCAGTGTCTAGGGACTTCAGTCCCATTAGGGCGTTTTAGTTTGTAAGTTCCTAGTTTGATGATGGCTGCCACGATGTAGGGGCCCTCGAACTTTGGTGCCATCTTCCCGCCCTCGGTTGGTTGGCTAGCTTCCCTTCTTCGGAGGACATAATCCCCCACTTGGAATTCCCGGGAGTGGACTTTGGCGTCAATGTAACTCTTCACTTGCCTTCGGTAGTTTTCTGCGCGTATGAAGGCTTGCTCTCGGCGTTCTGAAATAAGGTGGAGGTTGAGGGCCATATTGACGTCGTTGGCCTCTGGATCGTATTGTGTGACCCTTCGGGTTGGAAGGGTTACCTCAGTGGGGGCCTTAGCTTCAAATCCGTAGCAAAGGGAGAAGGGTGTCTCGCCAGTTGCCCGCCGAGGGGTGGTACGGTAGGCCCATAAGATGTTGTGGAGCTCTTCTACCCAACCACCCCCTTCGGCCTCCAGTTTCTTCTTTAGGCCTTCGAGCAAGGTCCTGTTGGCGTTCTCCACTTGACCGTTTCCCTGAGGGTAGGCAACGGATGAGAAGGTGTGTTTGATGCCCCATGCCTCCAGGAGGGCGCCGAAGGGGGCTGTCTCGAACTGAGTCCCGTTGTCGGAGATGATTTGCTAGGGGACGCCAAACCTTGTGAGGATGTTTTTGAGGACAAAATGACGACACCTGGCCTCAGTAATGCTGGCGAGGGGCTCAGCTTCCACCCATTTGGTGAAATAGTCGACGACGACGATGATGTACCTGTTGTTGGAGGTACCCCTCGGCAGAGGTCCCACAAGATCTATGCCCCATCGAGCGAATGGTATGGATGTGCTGATGGGGGCATAGTTGACCGCTGGCCTGCCGGGGGCTTTCTGGAAGTGTTGGCATGCGGTACACCTTCGGGCGAGATCTGCACAATCCCGGGCCATCGTAGGCTAGAAGTAGCCCTGGATTATTAGCCTTCGGGACATGAACAAGGGTCCCTGGTGAGCTGAACAAGTGCCACTGTGCACTTCCTCCATCGCCACTTCGGCTTCATCTTGATGAAGGCACCGAAGTAATATCCCGTTGTAGGACCTTTTGTAAAGCCTTCCGTCTTCGATAGCGTAGCTGGGAGCCCTCAGCTTTGCTAGCTTGGCGCAGGCCTCTTCTTCGGGCAGTTGCCCTGTGGTGATGAAGGCGACAATGTCTGAGATCCAGTCGTCCTGCCTTTGTTGTATGTTCATGACGGGGCTAGCATGTATACTAGAGAGGCTGAGCTCTTCCACTTTGGCAATCTTTGAGATGTGCTCAGGGGATTCGGCCGAGAGCTTGGATAAAATGTCGGCCTCGGAGTTTTGAGCCCTCAGTGTTTGAGTAAGAGAGTGTGCCTCAAATACCTTAAGCAACTCCTTGGCCGCTTCCTTGTACTGCTTCATTCTTCCTACCTTGGCTTCGTACTCCCCGGAAATTTGACCGACAACTAATTTGGAATCGCATTTGACGTGGATATGTCGGGCCTTCATGTTGGCTGCCAGTCGAAGGCCACAGAGGAGGGCCTCGTATTCGGCTTCATTGTTAGAGACTTTGAAGGAGAAGCGGACTGCATAATAGGCCCGGAAGCCTTCGGGTGAGATGAGAACCACCCCTCCTCCACATGCCTTGACGACGGAGGAGCCGTCGGTGTAGAGGGTCAACCAATCATCCGAAGGGGCCGAGGGCTCCTCGTCCGTGGCTGATCTTGCTGTACATTCCGTCACGAAGTCCGCTAGGGCTTGGCCCTTGATGGCGGGCCTAGGACGGATGTCGATGTTGTATTGGCTCAAGAAGACAGCCCATTTTACCATTCGGGAGGAGCTGGTGCGGCTCCTCATCAAAGCGCCGAGGGGTTGGTGAGTGAGGACCTGGGCCGGGTGAGCTTGGAAGTAATGGCCCAACTTCTTGACGGTCCACACGATAACCAACACCGTTTTTTCCACAGGGGAGTACCGGAGTTCTGCTTCCCTGAGGGTCTTGCTAACATAGAAGATGGCATGTTGGATGCCATCCTCCTCCCGGATGAGTACTGAGCTGATGGCTGCCGGGCTAACACCCAGGTAAAGGTATAGGATCTCCCCCACCTTGGGTTTAGAGAGCACAGGGGGCGAAGATAAGTATCGTTTCAGTTCCTCGAAGGTAAAGGTATAGGATCTCCCCCACCTTGGGTTGATGATGGCCTGGATCTTCTCGGGGTTGGCCTCGATACCCCTTCGGCTCACCATGTAGCCCAAGAATTTGCCCCCTTGTACGCCGAAGGTACACTTCTTCGGGTTTAGCCGAAGGTTGAACTTCTGCATGATGGCGAAGATCTCCCTCAGGTCATCGGCATGGCTTGTTGACTGCCTGCTTTTGACGATCATGTCATCAACATATGCCTCCATGGTACGCCCTAGGACAGCTTGAAATACCCTGGCCACCATCCGAGTGTAGGTGGCGCCCGAGTTCTTTAGGCCGAAGGCCATGACAAGGTAGCAAAAGATGCCCTCGGGAGTCATGAAGGCTATTTTTTCAGCATCTTCCTCATGCATAAATATTTGATGATATCCGCGGAATGCGTCGAGAAATGACATGATTTCACACCCCGCAGTTTCATCTACAAGTTGCTCAATGTTTGGCAAAGGAAAGGGGTCCATGGGACACGCCTTGTTAAGATCTGTGTAGTCCACGCACATGCGGAATGAGAGCGGTTTTTGTGCGAGGACTACGTTTGCCAGCCATGAGGGGTACTTTACCTCCTTGATGTGCTTGATAGAGAGGAGCATGGCGACCT